GAAAATCTGTGACAAGTTCGAGTGGATCGATACCATCGAACGGACGTTGGATATTCTTGAAGAAAATGATGAACGGAGCAGGATTAGTGCCGATTTACAGTTGCAAGTAATCGAGGCTCAAATCGATAGATTAAACGAGGAAGGTCGATTAGACTCAGCCTCGTATAATCTCCTCATTTCAAGTTTCCGAACCAGAAGATCTCAAGCATCGTTGGCCATTGCAACTACTGATGAACGAAGATTTGGGTATATCTCTGAAGAAGAGGACTCAGAAGAAGGAGAGTTTGACGATCATTGGGACTCAGAATCAGAAGATTCTAGAGGATAAACTGTGAATGAGCTACGGCTTAACCGGTGACACCTCCGATCCCTCTCCATCATCACGATCATCCTCATCAGAGTGAATATCTTCGGACCCTGGGCCAGTCTTTCAAACACCACCAGAGGAGGAAGCTACAACCTCCACACAAGTTATAACATCCTCAATCGCACAGCCACGATCACCTTCACCTACACCTCCAACACCGCATCCTATCATGTCCCTTGCGAACATATCTGGGCAGTTGAACCCACACTATGGGGGAATATATGCCGAGTTCATAAACAGAATCCCAGGAGAGATAACGAGGGGAGCTAGAGACTGGATTCTAGCTGCACATTCACAAGATCTGTTCACTCAGCAAGGATTGAGTGATACAGTAGCAGCGCTGGAACTTAGGAGTCGAACAATCGCAGACTCACATGCTGCAGATCTAGTGACCTTGAAGTTAGCAATACAAGCACTTCAGGTGCAGGCAGCTCCGCAAGCACCAGCTCTGGCACAACCCCCACGACCAAAGCAGAAAGTCACCGCACCTGAGAAATTCTCGGGTCATGGCAACCCCAAAATTAAGGAATGGCTCGAACAAGTATATCTATACTTGGACGATGTCACGGACGAGCAGCTGCAAATAAAGCTGTCTCTATCATATCTTGAGGGAGATGCTCATGACTACATGGATGACTATTATCCCAAGATCCAAGCTACTCAACCGCTTGGGATGTGGGCCGATTTTGTCAGTCAGCTCACGACATCTTATGACACAAAGGACAAGCCGCGAGAAGCACAGCTTGAGGTTGAATGCCTCACCAAGACCCCATGGA